ATTTTATAATGCACATTTTTCAGTTTTGAAGAATAAATTATTTAATTGAAAGTATTTCCAAATCTTCTCACGAAAAAGCTAATTCATGTTTTCAATTCAATTTTATTTCATAATCACATCCAGGAGAACATTTTTTATGACCTTTTTTGATTTATGAAATTAGTATTATAAAATTTGAAGATCACGAAAAGATTTCAGACAGTGTATTTTAAACAAAAATCATTAGATCATTCGAATTTATTATTTATTATATTAATGTATTTTATATATTAATGTATTTTTTAACTATTTTATATTAATTATATTCACATTATGACTAAGCAATTTCCTGGCTCTATGAAAAGTAACACAAATAGTTAAAAAAGAACTTATATTATACAGACCCATTAGCCTATTACCTATTTTGTCTAATATCTTTAAAAAGTTATTATTAAAAAAAAATCAAACGAGTCCTGGAAAACAAAAAGCTTATTTCAGAACACGATTTGGATTTTAGCAACAATAATCGAACAAATACATAGAGTTGTAGCAAATAATGCCTTAGAGTAAAAAAATATTGTTCAGCACTATTTTTAGACATTTTTAGACATTTTTTGATATACTTTTGGAAATTATTGCTTTTTAAATTACACAAAATAGTTTAATAATTATGTTTGCATTAAAATTTTTTTTTATTATTAATGTATTTCTTACACAAAACAGAAAAATTTATTACAAGATAATATCATTGACATTTCGCTTTATCGTAAAATATCACGTACAAATATGCTTATTGGAGAGTTTTATTATTTCTATACTAAGGTAAATATACTAGTTACTAGACAGTTAATGGACATGACTTAATTCGTTGGACAAAATGATACAAAATTTTAAATATTAAGCTTTTAATGATATGTACGATTCTAAATAAATTTGTTGTTTATAAAAATACAATAACCAATTTATTCAGAATTACCATTAAAAAAGTATATATACCGTTAAATGCTTTATATTTGAAATGTTTTGTGTAATAATTGGTTCATGTCTACTAACTGGTACATTTATTAGAATTTATTCCAGCATTATTGTATTCCAAAATTTTGTAATGACAGATTTTTTATCCAATTTTCAATCTTTTTCGATCTTTCCTTAAATATTAAAGTATATTTATAATTTACGAGCAAACTTTAATAATGATTGATAAAAAAGAAGATATTTGCGAAAAATTTTAGAGAGTTGTATGGCTCTCCAAAAGTAGTTATTAATTATCTTAGGGTTGAATTTGTTTTTTAATAGATTTCTAATTAAGTTACAGATATATGTATACTTATATGTCATTTTAGTAATAAAAAAAAATATATATATATATATGCATTATTTCTTGCGATTAAAATATCATAGTTGCGTCCATAAGAAATGTCTGAAGTGTCAATTTTTCAATTGGCTATTGCAAACTTATGATGG